AGGCGCTCGACCATACTAGGCTTTGTATCTCAGCCAACTAGGCTCGCTCATAGGCGCTCGACCACAGTAGGCTCGGTATATAACTTACCATCTGATAAGAAGTTGCCCAATAGANTCTTTATGCCTCGTTATCAAACACATATAATTATGAGATCATGCCAAAATGAAGGAAGGGCTTAGTCTTAATATACCTGAGTCGGTTCTCTTGACAATCCCTTTAATGCACGTCAATTGTGACAAATCACATAACGACGGATCGAAGTAGGAGAAAATCCGTATGATATTCTTTTAGAAAGATTGCATCGTACTCCCTTAGAATCACAAAATCTCATTGCTATAACATTACACAGTTTTTGTATGAAAGATTGAGGTCGCTTAACGTTGCTAAGATGATAAGGTATTTTTCTTGAATTCTTGAATTCTTGTCCGTTGCCTACTTTGATATAAGACCCTTCTTGTGGAGGATCGTAATCCTCCTTTGATTTTTTGTGAACAAGATCGACTCCCGTCGGCTCACCGTGGATGATCTACTCCGCTTGTACAGTCCCTGAATCTTACGAGGGGGATTGATAAAGCTCGTGCGCTGGGCTAGTAAAGCCTTATTATCAAGTATCGATAAAGACCAAGATCGAGGCTGGCAGGGACGCTTTGTCCGGGTGAGGACCTCGAACTTGATTCCGGCCAAATTTAGGCGATTCCCCGAGAAGTCGAATGCATCACGTAAGTACAACTTTTCTTTGAATTTTGATTTCACGCTCATCTCATTTTTCCTCATTGGTATTCGTGGTGGTGCAACTGTTGCTCGAGTCCCAAATATTGTCCCTCGATTAAAAGAGTGGATCGAAGGCATTATCTCACAGATGCTCTATTCATAGCGCTCGTGGCGCAAACTCTCGAAGGGCCGTTAGGAAACCCGTTCCCATAGTAAGATCTCTTTCCCGAATAAGTTGTGTTAGGCTTCTTCTTCTAGCATAACGTTCTTATTTCCTTTATTTCCTTTTTGCAGGTTTGCCTAAAATCGTGGAGCTTAGGCCTCCGGTCGGGGACGAGGACTTGCCCGCTGATTCTTCTGCTTCGGTGTAGCCCGCGACCACAGTAGGAGAGAAGAAAAGGAAGAGGGATCCAAGTTCCCCAATCTCGGAGAAAAAGAAACCAAGGAGAAGGTTGGTTCATAAGTCAAAGAAAAGCTCTAGCTCCCGAGTGCCTGACTCGAACTCACTCTACCGGCTCAGGGACGAGCCCGGGGAAGATAAAATTTTGGTGGCCCACAAACCGTTTGTCCTTGAGGAGCAGGTGGAAGCCGAGGGGTAAACGACGAAGGCTAATCCCCTCGAGTGCACGAAGCTGGTGTAGGGGCAAGGGTCGAGACTTCTCGAGATGCCGGCTCTGCCCCACCCGGTGTCATAGAAATTTTAGAATTGCCTTCGTTCACGGAGTCTATGTTTGACGAAGCCCGAGCGGCGAAGGAGAGATCCAACGAAGGGGTCCATGGAGCGGACGATCCCCTCTGATGCTTCTTTGATGGTATGGACTCAAACGCCCTGGAATATTTCATCGGGTTGGGCGATTTAGAGGTGCCGAGAAAAAGTCCATCCTCGGAGGTCGACGGATCGAACTTGAGCCCGAGGTTGATCAATCGGTTCCCTGCCTCGAGCGTGAATCCTGGTCGGAGGCGGTCAGTTGTAATCACCATTTCAGAGGATGCCCGGGTTCTTTCCACCTTGTAGGGATAGTTAGTTACTTCCGGTGCCTGGTAACCGAAGAAGACCAAGCAAAAATGAACGAGGTGGATGCGCCATGCTTGTTCAACGAAGCACAACATGCGCTGAACCGGGTAAGGTGTTATCATACTCTTTTATCTTCGGGTTCAGTTTCTGATGGCTCTAATGCCTTTTCCTCTCCTTATTTTGCATGCCTCGGTGCTTCATCATGAAACCTTCCTTCGGTACCGGGATGAGCTTAGTCAACCCGAGGCCAAAGTCAAAGGGATAGCTAAGAAGAGGGACATGTATAAGCTTCTCAGCGAGCGATGCAAAGGAAAAGTCAAGAACCTTCGAGCCGAGTTGGACGCAGCTCATAAAGAACATGCCAACCTAGTGGAATAGGTAAAGATCTTTGAAGTTAGTGATGACGAGTTAGACATAGTGAGTAACGGTCAGAACCCGCATGTCCAACAGAAGGTTCATCGGGTCGACCAGCTCCGAGCCGAGATAGACGAAGTCAAGGCCATGGCCGAAGAGTGTAAGCAAAATGGATCGATTGGCTTCGTAAAAGGAGACTGCTCGGGAGTAGCTGGCAGCGGCGGAGTCCCAACTTCGAGCAGCGAGGGATAAAGTTGAGGCTCGATCCTAAGAAATTGATGACCTCCAGTCTCAACTGGGCTCGGCCGCTGCCGAATGGGATACTTTTGCCAAGGAGCTTAAAGCAGCCAAGTCAGTGGCGAAAATAACCAGGGCCGACGCCGACGAGTTGGTGGCCCAGTACAAAGCTGACGCTGAGGCAGCCCAGGGCCGCCTGAAAGTTATTGCCGAATATGTGAAGTGGCAGTCCCGAAGAGAGGCTCTCGAGGAAGTTCATGCCCGGGGTTTTGACTTAACGGTCAAGATCAAAAACGTTAAGAAGCTCGAGGTATATCCCGAGGACGAGGAAGGCTATGAGGGCTCCGACAGATACGAGGGCGGAGAAAACCCTGATGGTGACGAGGTGGGCTCCGACGAAGATCAGGCTTAGGCGCCTTGTAGAATTTTCTTTATTTTTGTATTTTTATGTATTTTGTTGAGGCCGTTTGGCCTTTGTAAAGATCTTTATATATATACAAGACTTTTATTTTTTCCCTTTGGCAATTTGCAAGTTTGTTTCTTTTGGTTTTTCTTTACGATTGCAAAGATTTCAAATGCCTTAGCACATAGTAATAAGGTCTTGTTCGGAGGTTCGAACATGGGTTGCTCTAGAAGTGATTTTGTTTATAACTCGTGGGGTCTTGGTATGACTGGAAGCTTTCCCCAAAGTGCTTATTTGGAAGTTTTTAGATTATAATTTTGCCAAGGGTAGCCTTTGGACCGGTTTGAAAATTTTGAAGGCCTTATGTTTTGGTTACAGGTTTCGGACGTCTCTGAGCCGTTTCTAAGATGGACGTAGCCTTTTAAGTTCGGGTATTGCCCAATAGGCTTATTACCCCAGGCTTCGATGTCCGAGCCATCCGGGCTTGCCTAGGATGACAGTCCCCGAATGGGAGTGACAATAGCCTTTAAAGTTCGGGAACTGCTTAATAGGTTTTTGTGCCCCCGGGCTTCGATAGCCCGAGCCATCCAAGTTTGCCTTGGACGATAGTCCCTGAGTGGTGTGATCCCTTGGATCTGGATAGAGGTGGCCCTTGGGCCCGATGTCCTTAAGGAGCAAAATGTAGTAGTTTTTAAGAGACAAAATATGTATATGTAAGGTAGAAACTTTCTTTCATTTCTGTGCGTAACATACAAGATGGAAAATATGTACAAGCTTCGTGTTATGGCTTAGGTGATCTATGTGGGAATGGTTTATTTGGTCGTTTTGCCCTTACAATAAATCCTATCCACCAAGCCCAGATTGTTCGAGCACAAAGTTTCCTTCCTCGCTAAAATCATTATCAAGGGTGATGGCCTCCAGTATTCAAGGCCGATTATAGAGAGGGTTCGGATACTGTTGATGCGACCCTTGACCCCGATTCATAGTCGGTCGTCAATTCTAAGTTAGCACGATCCATTATTACCTCGTTAAAAACCTTACCGGAAAACCCATTTGGAACAAAACCGATTTAAGGAAAAAAGAATGCAATGCGTGCTTTCAGGCCTAATAACTACATCATTCTTTGGATGTTGTCTGCAAGTATTAGTTCAATTCGTAATATAGGTAACGAAAAGAATGAATGGGGTTGTACCTTAGCAGTTGTACCGTTTTAAGTGGGTCACGTTCCAGTTGGTCGGTAGTCGCTCATTGTTCCCCGCTTCGAGTTTGTATGACCCTTTGCCAGTGATTTTGATAATTCGATATGGACCTTCCCAATTCGATCCCAGCTTGCCTTCGTTCGGGTTCTGAGTATTTAGTGTCACTTTTCTTAACACTAAGTCCCCGATATTGAAATGTCAAAGGTTGGCTCTCCGATTGTAATACCTTTCAATCCGTTGTTTTTGGGCGGGATGGGGGTGGTCTCGCGCCTCTCGTCCAATAGTTCTAGACTCGTGCTCATAGCCTCATTGTTTGACTCTACAGTCACATATCGGAACCTGAGACTCGGTTCCCCTACTTTGTCCGGTATTAGAGCTTCGGCACCGTAGACCAACGAGAACGAGGTAGCCCCGGTACTAGATTTTGAGGCCGTTCAATATGCCCACAGGACTTCAGGCAAAATTTTCTTCCATTTCCCTTTGGCGTCGGCCAACCTTTTCTTAAGATTCTGGAGTATAGTTTTATTCGTAGATTCTGCCTGCCCATTCCCACTAAGGTGGTAGGGTATCGATAGGATTCTTTTGATCCTATGATCCTCGAAAATTTTACTCACTTTACTGCCGATGAACTGCTTCCCATTGTCATAAACGATTTTGGTCGGCATTCTAAACTGGCATATTATGTGGTCCCAAATGAAGTCAATAACTTCTTTCTCCCTGACTTTTTCGAATGTATGGGCTTCCACCCATTCAGAAAAATAGTCAGTCATAAATAACATAAATTGAGCCTTACCGGGTGCCCATGGGGGGGCCAACGATGTCCATTCCCCATTTTATGAATGGCCAGGGCAACAAGATCGAATGTAGCAATTGCCCGGGTTGATGAATCATCGATGCATGTCTCTGACATCCGTCGCATTTTCGTACGAACTCCTTTGCGTCTTTTTCCATGTCGATCTAGTAGTATCTGGCTCTGATTATCTTACGAACCAACGATTTGGCACCATAATGATTCCCGCATGTGCCTTCATGAACTTCCCTCAAAACATACTCGGTATCTCCCAGTCCAAGACATATGGCGAGTGGGCTATCGAACGTTCTCCTAAATAGGTTGTTATCTTCGGACAAGCTGAACCTGGCCATCTTCTGCGTAGAGCTCTCGATTCTTTAGGGTCCGAGGGCAGTTTTTCGGTCTTTAGATAATCTATATACTTCTTTCTCCAGTCCCATGTTAAGCTTGCCGATTTATCTCGGTGTGGCCTTCCTCCACTACCGATTTCATGAGTTGTACGACCGTTCTCGAGTTGAATTTATCGTCACAACCGACGATCCTAAGTTTGTAAGAGCATCGGCTTCGCTATTTTGATCTCGAGGTACATGTTGCAAAGTCCATTCCTTGAACCGAAGTAACGTCACTTGTAGTTTATCCAGGTGCCTTCACATTCGCTCCTCTTTGACTTCGAATGTTCCATTGACTTGGTTCACCACAAGGAGGGAATCACACTTAGCTGCAATCACCTCGTCCCCCAGGCATTTAGCTAGTTCGAGACCTGCAATCATGGCCTCGTACTCGGTCTCGTTGTTCCCCGGTTATTTTGACCTCGATCGCTTCGCCTTTCACTTCTCACAGTATTTCATCCAGACCCATTGCCTCTTCGGTCCCCATTGTATGGTTGATATTGATCCCTATTTGATCTCGGTTCACGATCAATGTCTTTCTTGGGTCTGTCGAAAGTTCTGACGGGGGTAAACGGACCTGGAAGGGGCCCCAAACTAATCATCTTTGACCCTAATTTTTGATTCATACAGGTTATGTACGTCGGCCTAAGTTACAGTTGGATACTCTACCAGATTTTGCTTAACTGTTGTGAAGCCAATGAGCTTTGAGCATTGAGTCCTTGGGTGAAGGCCTGAACGGCCCAATCATTTGCGACCGGAGGCAGGTCTATTCGTTCCATTTGAAACCGGGACACAAATTCCCTGAGCGTCTTATTATCCCTATGTTTCACTTTGAAAAGGTCTGACTTCCTGGTCTCGACCTTGATGGCCTCAGCGTGTGCTTTAACGAAGAAGTTTGCAAGCATAGCAAACGAGTCAATAGAATTAGGGGGTAAGTTGTGATACCATATCATAGCTTCCTTCGACAAAGTTTCCCCGACTTTT